GTGCTTGTGGGCACAGGCTCTGTGTGTGTGTCTGGTGGGCTGTCTCTATCTGGTGTGCTTGTGGGCACAGGCTCTGTGTGTGTGTCTGGTGGGCTCTCTCTGTTTGGTGTGCTTGTGGGCACAGGCTCTGTGTGGCATTCTGTTTCTGTGTTTGTGTTGGTCCCCGGCTTTGTTTGTGGGGAGCAGTGATCTTACTGTAACTGCCTCACTCACCCATGACGTGCAGGTTAGCGGGGTGTGAGGCGGTCTAGCTGAGTGGCGGACAGCCCACCATAGACATGGGTTGAACCTGGTTCTGTGAGTTACCTGTCCTTGGGCAGCTCACTTCCCCTGTGAGCTTCTGGTTCTGGCATTTACACGGGAATAAGAAGATTCAAAAATTAGCCGGGCGTAGTGGTGGGCGCCTGTCATCCCAGCTACTTGGGAGGTTGAGGCAGGAGGATCACTTGAATCTGGGAGGCGGAGGTCACGGTGAGCTGAGATGGTGCCACTGCACTCCAGTCTGGGTGACAGAGTGAGACTCCATATCAGAAAAAAAAAAGCTGGGTACGGTGGCTCACGCCTGTAATCTCAACACTTCAGGAGGCCAAGGTGGGCAGATCACCTGAAGTCAGGAGTTCGAGACCAGCCTGGCCAACATGGTAAAACCCTGTCTCTACTAAAAATACAAAAAATGAGCCAGGCATGGTGGCACACGCCTGTTATCTCAGCTACTCAGGAGGCTGAGGCAGGAGAAGTGCTTGAACCTGGGAGGCGGAGGTTGCAGTGAGCTGAGATCACGCCATTGTACTCCAGTCTGGACAACAAGAGTGAAATTCTGTCTCAAAAAAAAAAAAGAGAATTAGATTTAAATTGGGCATGCCAAGCTGCTGTCACAGAAAGACGCCAAAAATCTCACGACCTAAGTAGAGCAGGAGTTTATTTCTCTCTTGTATGCTGAGCCCTGCAGGGAGGTGGGTGGTCCGGGGGGCGAGGCCCCGCTCCATGATGTCACTCAGGGACCCAGGTTCCTGCTTTTTTGTGTTTGAGATGGAGTCTCGCTCTGTTGCCTATGCTGGAGTGCAGTGGCGTGATCTTGGCTCACTGTAAGCTCCCCCTCCCGGGTTCACGCCATTCTCCTGCCTCAGCCTCCCAAGTAGCTGGGACTACAGGCGCCTGCCACCACGCCTGTCTTCTTTTTTTTTTTTTTTTTGTATTTTTAGTAGAGACGAGGTTTCACTGGGTTAGCCAGGATGGTCTCAATCTCCTGACCTTGTGATCCACCTGCCTGGGCCTCCCAAAGTGCTGGTATTACAGGCGTGAGTCACCACCCCCGGCCACGTTTAAAATTTTTGTAGAGACAGGGTCTTGCTATGTTGCCTAGTCTGGCCTTGAACTCCTGGACTCAAGCAATCCTCCTGCCTTGGCCTCCCAACGTGCTTGGATTAGAGGTTTAAGCCACCATGTCAGCCTGGAGGCTGGTTTTGAATGCAGGCTCCCTCCGTCTAGTATGTATTGAAATTCCAGATCCCCGCAATAGGAAAGCCAGTGCAGTATATACTGTGTTGTTTGCATAGACTAGGCCTGACCAACCAGCCTCATTAGTTCACTACTGACCTTGAGCACGGAGCATGCTGAGAGCAAATGCTCAGACACCAGCAGACCAGTCCGAGGAGAGGAGCCTCAGGCCTGCTGGGCAGCCCCTCTCCTGCACGGGCGGCCTAATAGTTCTCCCTGAAGCTGGGTATCCCTATCTTTATCCCCCCAGGAGTGGGAGGAGCGGCGCAGACAGAACATTGAGAAGATGAACGAGGAGATGGAGAAGATCGCCGAGTACGAGCGCAACCAGCGGGTCAGTGGTGTGGGTGTCCCCATGGCAGGGTCCAGCTGCCTGGGCTACGGGGAGCCGGTGTCAATCCCCTGCTCCGCTGCCTGCAGGAAGGGGTGCTCGAACCCAACCCGGTGCGGAACTTCCTGGATGATCCCCGGCGACGCAGCGGGCCCCTGGAGGAATCTGAGCGGGACCGCCGGGAGGACAGCCGCCGGCATGGCCGCAACTGGGGTGGCCCTGACTTTGAGCGGGTGCGCTGTGGCCTTGAGCACGAGCGGCAGGTGGGTG